CAAGAACACAAGGTATTCCCAAAAACAGTAAACCTGGAGTTCAGCTCCCCATCTACACTCTACTTCCTATTTGTCAAACAACTCACTGGGTTGGTAATCCAATCTATGAAAGAAAAGTTTTCTACTTTCAACAGAGTTCTAACCCAATGAAATGAGCGGGTTTGTACCAGTTCAAATAGCTTGTCCTCATTAACCTTCTTGTGTTGAAAGGCTGTTTCATTTCTAGACAACCACAATGACCATACTATTGTGAACCATACCATATTCCAGCCTTTTTTCATAATTTTTGAGCCCTTATGCCATCTGTGCTGGTTGAAAACATCAAGACAAGTATTCCCAAGAACATAACATAATCCCCACCAATTTAGACATTTAGACCATAAATTGAATGAGATATTGCATGACAGAAAAAGATGATCTATATGTTCAGGGAACTGATCACACCAAAAACATTTTATACCTTGGTTGTCATCCATAATGCCTCGCTTTGCCAAGTTGACCTTTGTGGGAATTCTGTCCAGAAGCATTTGCCATGAAAAAGCGCTCACTTTTGAAGGGACTTGCGCACTCCATATCTTTCTGTACTCCATCAGTGTACTTTCCTCTTTCTTTGCCAACTGCTCATAAGCTGACCTTGTGGTGTATTTTCCTTCGTTGTCAGGCCTCCATCTCCATGTGTCTTTCACGTTTTGAACTGGTTTTATGTGATTTATGGTCCCAATCAATTGTTGTAGTTTTTCCTCCTCCCATGCTCTGATTGGTCTTCTCCATTGGAATCTCCAGCACCAGCCTCCATCAGACCATTGTCCTCGATCATAGATGCTGCAGTTTTTGTCTGTGTCCAGCAAAAACAGTCTCGGAAACACATTAGCTAAAGAATCCTCACCCACCCATACATCTAACCAGAACCTGACACTCGTCCCATCCCCTAATTTTAAGTTGAAATTTGGGAGTAACCATCCATCCTTATTCCTTAATCCTGTGTTCAATTTGCAAATATCCTTCCACCATGGTGATCCTATTCCCCTGCCCTCTTTCATCCATGATATCCAATTTCCTTCCTTGCCGCCATATTTTTCTAACAGCACCTTAGACCACAAACCCTTATCTCCCCCTATTAATCTCCCCCACCATTTCCCGAGCAATGCCATGTTAAACCATCTAAGATTTTTTACTCCTAAACCTCCCTCTTTTTTTCCGCAGCAGACCCTCTCCCAAGCCACCCAAGCTATCTTTCTACCTCCCCCAACTCCTCCCCATAAGAAATTTCTTCTAATTTTATCAAGCTCACGAATTACCTGTTTAGGGAGAAGGTATAGCGACATCAGGAACACTGGCAAGCTGGACAGCACAGAGTTTATGAGGGTGATTCTTCCGCCAAGAGACAAGAATTTTCCTTTCCAGACTGAGAGTTTTCTTCTGAAGGTTTCGATTATGGGTTTCCATGTATCTATTCTCCTTGGATTTGCTCCCAATGGCATGCCCAAATATTTGCAAGGGAGGGAGTCAGTTTTGCAATTCAGCAACCATGCCATTTTTCTAGTCCATTCTTCACCAGTATTGACTCCAATTAAAGAGCTTTTTCTGTAATTTACCTTCAGGCCTGACACCAATTCAAATGCCCTCATGATGCATTTAATCATCCATATATTGTCTTCGGTTGCCTCACCCATAAAGATTGTGTCGTCTGCAAATTGTAAATGGCTGATCTCTAACTCCCCATTTCCTATTTTTACTCCACGTAGATAACCCTTTGCTACTGCTGCCGAAGTTAGTCCATTTAGTGCTTCTGCCACCATTAAGAACAGAAATGGAGATAGTGGATCTCCTTGTCGCAGCCCTCTTGACATCGAGAACTCTTTTGTAGCACTTCCATTAAGTAACATGGACACAGTATTTGATCTTAAACATTCAGCAATCCACTCCCGCCATACTTTGTCGAATCCCATTTTCTCCATCATGTAGTCCAGAAAAGACCAGCTCACCTTATCATATGCCTTTTCGAAATCAATCTTGAATACAAAACACCGGGATTTCCTCTTCCTCACCTCATCAATTGCTTCATTTGCAACAACCACACTGTCAACCAGTTGTTTTCCTTCGATGAAAGCAGATTGATTCTCCCCTATAATTGTGTTTAATACTCTGCTGAGTCTGTTAGCTAACACTTTGGCAAGAATCTTATACATGCAGCCAATTAAGGAGATGGGTCTATACTCTTCAATGCCTTGAGGGTTCTCTCTCTTCGGTATCAAAACCAGGAACGAAGCATTAGAACCCCTTACCATCCTTCCATTTGTGTGAAAATCCATGAGAAAGTCCATGATATCTACTTTAATCACCTCCCATTCATTTTTTATAAACCCGAACGTAAAACCATTCGGACCCGGTGCTTTGGTGCTTTCACAATTCCATACCGCAGCTTTAACCTCCTCTTCTGTAAAAGGTTGAATGAGCATGCGTCTATCCTCCTCTGAAATAGTTTTGAAACTCAGCCCCTCTAAAGTCGGTCTTTGCCATCCCTCATCAGTGAATAATTTTGCAAAATACTTCATAACACCCTGTTTTATGTCTTCAACTTGTCTCAGCTGTTTGCCTTCTACAGAAATTACATTTATTTCGTTTCTCCGCCATCTTCCTCTGATGCATTTGTGGAAAAAACTGGTGTTAGCATCTCCTGATTTCAGCCACGTTTTTCGTGCTTTCTGTTGAGCCATCTCTTCTTTCAACTGCATATTCTTTAACAACTCAGTGTAGTGAGAGCTCCTAACGATAATGTCTTCATTTGACAAGTTGCTTGTTTCTCCTTTGCTATCAACTCTGTTTATCTCCTCCCTGGCCTGCTCAATTTTTCTGTCCACTTCCTGTATATTGGATTTTGACCACACTCGGAGAAAATCCTTTGTCATCTTCAGTTTCTCCTTTAAAATGAATCCGCCCCAGCCTTGAAGTTTTAACTCCTTCCATTTTGCTGTAACCATATCTGTGAACCCCGGGATATGTAGCCAGGCATTGAAGAATTTGAATGGTTTTGGTCCCCAATTCCTTACCTCATTTTTTGCCAAGATCGGACAATGATCTGACAGAGATCTTTGAAGTCCCCACTGTTTTAGATCAGGCCATTTCAATAGCCATTCATCATTGAATAAAAATCTGTCCAGGCGACTCATGCACCGGCCATTTGGTTGGTACCATGTATACTTCCTTCCCAGCAGAGGTAGATCCAGCAAGCCATTCTTCACAATGAACTCTTCGAAACCCTTTATGTCTCTCCTCACGCTCTTACCCCCCTTACTTTCTTGGGAACATCTGATGGCGTTAAAATCACCCCCCAAACACCAGCACCCCGTGTAATTTCTTATCAGCTGTTCAAGATCCCTCCACAGAATTTTCTTTTTTATCAAGTCGCATGGAGAGTACACATTACACAAAAAACATGGGTACTCATTTGGACCCCATAACCCGTGAATTCCTATAAACCCCTCCCCTTCAAAAACATCCATCTTCTTGATTATTTCACTATTCCAGATGATAATTAATCCTCCCGAGGCTCCTGCTGCAGATTTTGCCACCCATTCCATGTTATCTGAATCCCAGAGTTTCCTACATAGTTTTCTATCAACTATTTCCATTTTTGTTTCTTGCAAAAACAAGACCTCTACCCTGTGTTTTATCACCAGTTCTCTTACCTCCCTTTTCTTCCCCCATCCGCCTAACCCCCTAATATTTAATGACAGCAAATTCATGGAAAATTAGCAAGCACCTGATTTCTGGAGAGAGTGCTTACCGTGTCTTTTTTCCTTGTTTCTCTATC